AGATAAATGAAGCGTGATAGCGATAAAATAACACAGAATGCTTTTGTACATAAAATTTATGACTCATGAAACGTGTTTATGTACCTTATATACTTCTTCCGAGATAGATAAATGAAGCGTGATCAATAACCCATTGAGAATAGACAAATATTCACCCGTTCTATACAAACGATTTATCTCCTTTCAAAATCTTCGAACAAACTTGTAATCACGTATACATTATTAGCAACAAAAGTAATAGTAAGTTATCATTCATCTATTAGTTATGTGAAAGTCACAATAAATATTATAGAGATGCCAATGTCTGTATATTTGATTTTATTTGCACTGTTACTTGATGTGACATCGGCTGCTGATGATCCAAAACTACCCACATCAAATTCTATGATCACTGTTGAAAAAATAACGCCAGCAGAGTATGACGCGTTGATAAGCTCTGGACAATTTCAACTTATCAAGCAAGATTCGGGCTTATACAGAGTAGATTTGACTCCAGTTCCAACAAGGGGAGTACCATGCGCGGTGGCTTTCAATCGCTGGTTTAACCAATATGATGATTCTTTTCAATCTGCGGCAAATTCACAATGTAAGTCGATTCGAGGTGCTTGGAGAAATAATCGTTGTTGTGTACTGTTCGTAGTCAATCCACATATTCCACCTTGCTCTCAACGGTTACAATACGAATACGTTGAACAGATAACGATTCCAGGATACCTTAGCTCTGACGCTACACCTGTAGGAAAATAATAATGACTTACAAGATCTTTCATTATAAATTTATTAAACTTTTCGTTCTACAGAAAATAAAACATAAAGTTACTAACTATTTTTAATTTCGCCCCATTATTCGTTTTCTTTCATATCATAACTCTTAGTCGTAGACAGAATGTGAATGTGGTTGTGAAAGTATAATTAATATGAAATATATACATTGTTATTGTCGAAATTTAACGAGATTTTACATAAAGAACGACGTATTCTTCATTACATTCTGATTCAAATACAATCATGACCAATAAAAAAAGTATTTTGAATTAATTTTCTTAGAAAAAAACTTTGCATCAGAATAATAATTTCAAAAATCTAATCTTTATAGAAAATTGATGACAATCGATTTGTTTTAGAGGAAAAAGTATAAGAATCATACAGAAATAGGGCGTACAATAAGTACATAGAAGTAAAATAGTTCTTAGTTTTTAAGTGGAAATATAAATGCAATCAGATAACTGCGTATATTGTAGTATTACTTGTTATGTAAGTAGAAGCAAAATAATATCTACCCATCATTTTCAGGAAAGATATAATAGTTTCTACCTGTCTTAATTCAAAAGAGAAAATTTCATTATTCTGTGATCGGTACTTTAACAACAAAAATAGAATAATGTTCACGTGACGAGTAAATACAATGAAATTTAGATAGAAAAATAAATGATTGTATTCTCTATGAATGTCAATATGCAATTCTTAGATATCGATATTTAGATATTACGTAATAAATAGTACAAAGAAAAAATTCTGTTATCAAGCTGAAATAATTATTTCATTTGCAATTCTAAATAACAAAAAGTCGATATTTAATATTTATTAAATAAATATTCGCAGAATAAATCCAGTTTAGCTGAAAAATCTTGTCGCAACGTATTACAACAAGAGGAAATTTCTCATGCAGGTTCACTTGAATGTGATTATGATGACGAAGTATTTCGTGAGTACGGGTATGAGTTTATCATATATATTCCACTCCCCCGCACATCCTCAAGACGGTTTTATTTATTCGTCTTAGTCACGCAAAATTCTTATATAATAAATGACATGTCTCATTTAGTCTGTTTTCTTGCATGATCAGATTCATAATATTGAAAAAATCGAGAAGGCATTTATATCTGTCTATAATTGTACTGATTATAGCAGAAGAAAAATGAAACTATCGATTACGTTTCATCACATACTGTTATTGTAGGTGAACCTATATGATAAAAGGATCTGACCTATTTTGTCACACAACTGCTGGCTTTTTTGCTATTTCTAAACAGTTGAGATTTTATTATATAAAAAATAACTTCGTAATAGATGTCAATTATCTTATGAATACTTGTTATATTTTATTGATTGAATATTATATATGTCGATTTAGAATATAAAGCTCTTTTATGCAAATGTCATCTTGAGGGTGTGGGCGGGTAGGTGTGGGTAGTATATTTATACCACATTCACACCCACGCTCTTTTAAAAGTATGAGAGTCTGTTTATCTTCTCTTCATTCACATCCTCAAGATCACGAATTTTCGTTCTATTACAATCATTGCGATGGAAATTTCAAAAAAAGATGTTTATGAAATAAAAGATGACACTAGATTTAAGATAATGAAAATGATATTTGTAATATATGACTGTGAGATGTAAGTTTATTCCGTAGCCGAACACTAATTCATATGAAAAAAAAAATGAGGGTACATTGCACATCAAATACACAGAACAGAACAGAACAATATATATCTACCGCTACTAACGCTCCCTATCATGCATACCTGCGTTCCAACACATCCTCTCTAACTCAGAACAACAAAAAAAAAGGAAGAGGAACAAACGCAACCAAAGAGGAGCAAAAAGATAACTAAGTAGAGTAGGACCGGAAACAAACAACTCTGAGAAAGAAAAGAATGTATCACGTGTAGAGCGCATGACAGGTATTTACTTTTCTTAGCTTTCAATATTAAGTATATGAACCAAACATTTCTACAAAAATCAAGACAAATATTCTACTTCCCAGTATGCTACGACACCAACAAAACCAACAACAACTTATTTCTCTCAAACGAGTGAATGTTGCAGCAACGATTCGATCTTTTGCTGCTGATGTAACTATTACACAACTCTTTCGCAATGAAGAAACAACACCCATTGAAGCAGTGTATTGTTTTCCAATCGAAGAACAAGCAGCTATTTATAGTTGTATAGCACGTATCGATGATCGAGAAATTACTGCTCAATTAAAAGAGA